CACGTGAGCCTGCTCAGGAGGCCATGCGTGCTGCAGGTGGTGTGGTGACGCTGATCTAGGGGACAGTCACCATGATGGAACCTCATCCTGCATGTATCCAGACTAGAAGCAGGCTTCTGCTCTGTTCTTTGGAAGGCGGCAGAACTCTAGCATCAGTAGAGGCCAAGAGTCATATGCCCTGGGGCACACCCAGGCTAGCCCAGCCTTCAAGTAGCAGTATTAGTGGGGAGAGCTTCGGCTCTGGTGTTATTCTTTCTCTCTCACTGTCTCTCTGCCTTGGTCTCTGCCTCTTTGTTTCCGTGTCGCTATCTGTCTTTCTTTCTCTGTCTCCCTCTCCTACCTTTCCTATCCTCAGTCCTTCATCTCCTATTCATTCTCCAGACTTGCTACTAAGCCAGTTCTTCCTTCTCACCCTCACCCTGCTCCCCCGGGTTTCCACCTCTGAAACCTCCTACTGCAGTTTTGTGGGAGCACAGAAGAAACAAAACAAAACAAATCTGCACCAGCTCCTGGGCTTTCAACTCACCAGCAGAGGTTAAACAGCCTTTGCTGCCTCCACGTGAGAACTGGGCAGATGAGGCAGTGAGCCGCTGTCCTTCCCTGTGGTCCAGGGATGCAATTGGTTATGGGTCTGGAGCTGTCAAAGGTGCCATTCTGTATTCCCGAAAGCCGTGGTGCTTACTGGTGCTGTCAGAGGCCAGCTACGGAAATATCCCTTCCCGTCCACTCTGGAAATATCCCTTCCCGTCCACTCTGGAAATATCCCTTCCCTTCCGATCTGGGAAGGTAGCCAAGGGAGGTCTGGGGGCCACTTTCTTTTGGGGGAATATGCAGTGTGTTCTGCTCCCTGATGCCACTGATCCTAATGACAATTCTGTCACATGAAGAGGAAAGATGTCAGGGCAGCTGGCACTGGGTGGAAGCTACAGATCTCAGTATATGCAGTTTCTTCATCTGTAAAATGGGGATAAAAATACTGACCTGATGTTTTTTTTGGTGAGGTTTCAAGGAGTTAACATATTGTCCAGAACACAGCCTGTTCTACAGGCATATTAACTGCTGTTGGATTCTGTTACTCTTACTGCTATTGTTACCGCTTTGCATTCCATATATACCATTAACTCTCTGTGTGATGTGGGGGTCAATCTTTCTGACCCTGGTTCCTCCTCCTTTTTAAAGTGAGAATCTGATACTTGCCCCCTAGGGGATTGGGAGGTGGTTTATGTAAAGCAACTCGCATAGTGCTTACCTCTTACAGGGTGCAAAGTTAACCAGCATTCTTTTTTCCCTCCACCCACTTTCTTCCCCTATGTGAATTATCTGCTGAGGCCAAGAGAGCTGGCTACCAAGGCTGGCACAGTCTCCCAGTGGCAAATCTAGAAATAAAACCAGAGCTATGGACTTCATCTTTCGCTCTGACTGGAGTGGGTCCCTTGGCAGACAATGCCCAGCTCTGTGGTGCAGTCTGAATTTCAGCCACAGAGTCTAAATCTGTTTGTCACCGTGGCTCTCTTGATCCCTCACTGATCAGTGTTGATGACTTGGAGGAAGAGAGCCCATCCTAGTCTCAATCACAGGGAATATCTCGTAGCCTCATAGATTCCAGCTGCATTATGGTCCAGCCAGTAGAGACCTTCGTGAGATAGAAAAGAAAGGTCGTATAGAAATACACACACAATATTCCTTCCGAGAGCATTCAGGCAGGACTGCAACAGGAGACGGACTCATTTCAGATGGAAGATGTCCCTTGGAACTCATCTCAGGGCCTCCCACCACTTACGTGCACTTGGCTTCAGTGTACCGCCATCTTTTCCTGTGGGATCCAGAATGGCACTGCAGAATAGCCCAGGTGCAAATCTCTCCAGGAGACTAAAACTCCGGGGCCTCTGCTCTCACTTGGCCCCCCGTGGCGGAGCACACTTAGCAGGGACTGGGTCCCCAGCCCTCCTGCTCTGACAGCCTCTATTAGACCTCAAGCATCTTTGCACATGAGGTCTGCAAGTGGCAGCAGTTCTGGAACTCGGGAAGAAGATCCGATGCAGAGCAGAGGTGAGGAGAGCAGGTTGTGGAGGAGGAGGCTGAGCTCCGGCACAGGCCAGGCCTGGAAGTACTTGGAGGTTAAAGATGCGGACAAGGAATCAGGGGTCAGGTGACATCTAGAGGCTGCTCCAAGACAGCATGTCAGCATTAGGGACAAGGAGGAAAGTGTGCGAGCTTGACTTGAAAGCCAACCCAACAATTGTCAGATTCAAGGATTTGAACTGGATTCAAGGATTTGAATCCAGATTGGTCATAACGGTAGTAATAATTGGTAATAATACCAATCTGGGTTCAAATCCTCTCTCTGCCACTTCCTAGCTGTGCGACCAAGGACAAATCCCTTCACAGTTTCTCTGTCTCTAAAATGGGAATCATAACAGTACCCATATCAAAGCAATGTTAGAAAATTAAAAAGAAATTACTTATCAAGGTTAAGTCCTCTCCAGAGATGAATTCTAATTCTAAGCTAGAAGTCCTCTTGGCCAAACACTGAATAGTTTTGTGCACTTAACCCATCCATAGAAAGCCACCTGTGGCTGTGTTGTCTTCTCCAAGCCATGGTTGCCATGATCATCACCTGGCTAGGGAAGTGGCTGATGGAGCATCTATGGGAACAGCAGGTCTAGAACCCAGGGCCACAGGCTGGGTAGCAGGACAGTCTCCGGGCATCAAGGAGGCCTGTGCATTTCAGGGCTATGGCTCCTTTTTGTCCAAACCGGCAGGGGTTAAGCCTCAGGCACCGAGGTCTTAGGGTCTGCAGGGCTGAGCAGGAGCTCCTAAGTGAGAAGGGAGGCAACAGGGAGAAAGCAGCCAGCTGAGGACAAGCTGCCTTCTAGGCGGTTAGCTCTTGACAGCACCTTTTCATTAAACCATCTCTTTTCAAAGGCTCCAGTCCCCAGAGTAATTGAGGATTTGGTTCCCTTTGTGGCTGTCTGCTTGTCTTCCAAAGAGCTGCCTTGATGCCTTTCTGGGCCCCCAACAGATTTTCAGAGCAACCACTGTGGAATCTTAAGATGTTTCTGGGAGTGAGTGTGAGTTCGTCTCTCTCCTAGATACCCGGTGTGCCTCAGGCCTTGGGAGAGGGGAAATTTTATCACAGCTCAGCCTCTGGGGCTGTAGAGGTGGAGTCTCAGGAATTTCAAGAAGTGAGCACGCCGTATTAGCAGAAAGGTCTGCTGGGCCGTGGGGGTACCCTCCTCCTACCCTGTCTCCTCTTTCTTCTCTAATTCCTGCATGCCAATATTGTACTGGCTTTGACTCACATGCCCATAAATACCTGCCATAGGTAGAAGGCACTCTATCAAGAAGGCTTTGGGCTCTGTCTTCAAAGCAGTCCTGAAGTCCAACCACAGAAAATCAGAGGCGCAGGCCAACCCCTGTGGATTTTGAAGGCTATAGTTTGTGGCTTCTCTTCAATACATGAATGCCTTTTGCAACCTCCTCTCCAAGTAATGCTGGCCTGTCCTTTTAACCCACTGATGATGGAGAACCCAGTATCTTTGGAGGAAGTCAGGGTTTTTACGTTTACTGGCCCCCAGAACATGGGGACAAAGCTCTCAGCTACACTTGTCCGGGGATATTCAAGTTGCGTTTTAATTCTTCATTGTGTGTGGGGGTCATGTTGAGAGACGCTCAGAAGAAACCCATCTTGAAGCCAGTTCTCTGAAGGAATGGGAGGCAGGTTTGGGCAGGAGCATTAGAAGCACAATGATGAGCAGAGGGTCATCTCTAAAAGGCACCTTACCAGCACTCTGCAATGCATGGAGGAAAGCTGGTCACACTCTGTACCGCATTCTCTCCTGTGTCCTGTATACACCCAACCTCAGTCTTCAGAACTGCCCTGGAAGCTGGGTCTGATCACCTGCATTTTACAGTGGGAGAAACAGACACTCAGGGAGCTGGGAACAATCCTTAGCCTCCAGGAACTTGACCTGCTTTGTGTCTGGATGTGGGCTTGCCGAGGAGGGATGCTCCCCAGAAGTGGCTTCTGCCGCTTTGGTCTTGGGTGATACAATGCTCAGCTACCACCATTCATAGGTGTGTGCTGGTCGTGTATCTGCGCTGGTGTTGGGTAATGGAATTTTGTGTTTATCTGTGGTCAGGAGTCCTTTCACCACCCACTGGCCTTGCCTTTCACCACCTGCTGACCTTGCCCTTCACCACCCACTGGCCTTGCTGAGCTGTCTCCCTGAACCTTTTCTGCATAATCACTGGCTGGTCTTCAGGGATGGACAGCCTCTGGAAATGGCTTTCTTCCAGAGCCATTGCCCCGGGGGTGCTGAGAAGTCCCCAGGCCCCTCTAGAGCATCTCATCCCCATGACTTTACCAAGATGACTCTCTCCCCTCTTTGGGGACTGCCACAGTCTCTGGCAGCTGCCTTTGCAGTGACCTTGCTCTGGGGCTCAAAGGATCCTGCCAACCCAGACTCTGCAGCAGCTGGGACCACAGGCGTGCACCACCATGCCTGGCCAATTGTGTGGCCATTCGCTAGCAGTGTGACCTTGTATAGGTCACTACCCCTCTCTGATTTCCTCAGCTGGAAAAGAGGATAATGATTAAAAAAATCACAATTAATTAACACTACTTTTTATTTTCAACGTGTCAGGCATTATTCCAAGTACTTTATATAAATGACCTCATTCAATCATTGCAATAACCATATGAAATAATTATTATTGTTTAGTTCCTATGTGATGTGTAAACTGACACCATACAGGTAGTTAGTAGCAGGGATCCAGGAGGGATCCCTGGATGTGTCTCAGCAGCTGCCTTTCACATTTATGTTATGCTGTGTCTCAGGAATGCACGTGGAGTCTAAAAAATAATGTCGGCTTCGCTGCAAAAGGAAAAAAGGTGATGATGCTTGTGTGTGCCCAGCTTTGAGCCTGGCACATAATAGATGCTCATGAAATCTTATTTGCCTTATCCTCCCTTGGTCTCTTTCGTTCTACTCCCCTAGGTGAGCACACAAGCGGGGTTGCAACAAGGAACTGGCAACCATGTCTGAGGAAGGCTGGTGAGTAGTGTGGACAGGTACCCCTCATTCTCTCCTCTCCTTCTGCATCCAGAAGAGCTGACATCCCAGCTCATGAGTACATGTGGGTCCAGTTTCCCCTGCAGCTGACACATAACTCTGACTGTTTCCCAAAACAAGAGAGTAGGAGGGTATAGCAATTGCTCATTAGAGGCTGTCAGTGAGCCTAGAGGCTCACAGGATTCCTCCCACCTGCTCTGGTGAGATTGTCTGCCTTTATTTGTGTTTATTTTCTGATAGAAATACTAGAGTCAGAGCTTATCTGGCCTGGCTTCTGGGCCAATGGGGAGCTGATAAGGAACAGACCCATCCGGTGGGATCTGCTGGGTGGGTTGCTATTGTCTTATACACCATACAGGTAACCAAGGCCTCAGGTAGAAGTCACACTTCCCTGACCTCCTTCTCGTGGTTTCCCAAGTCCTCGACCAGCTCAACCCCAAGGGGCAGCCAGTTAGAGTTCGCCACAGACAGATTAGATCCTGCTGGACCTCTGGGGAAGTTTCAAGAACCAGTTTGACCACAAAACCGAGAAGCAGGTCTGTTGGGGCGTTTCTGGATGAAGTGGTCATGGTGGCTGTCGGACGAAGATCCGAATTAGTCACGAAAGGAACAGGAGCCAGGATGGGGGTGGAAATGAGGCCAGCTCCCCTCTGCTCCAGGCTTAGGATCCAGCTGGGGTGGAAGCAGAGGCTGTGTTGCAATTTCACTGCAAATCAACCGGGTCATCTCTTGTGGGTGATGCTGTGCAGAGCTTCCAACCCTTGATTCTTTGTAGATGGGGAGATGGTATCTCCCAACTGCCTTCAGCAACTGGCTGTGACATGAGGTTGGGGGAAGATGGAATGATATGGCTTCCTGGCAGAGCCTGTGGCTCCGGAGGCCTGTGGTGGAGGGGACAGGGTGGAGTCCATGTTTGAACAAGTTGAGAGCAATTGCTGGAGGAGCCCTGGGCAGAAGTTCCCTCTCCAGATCAGACTTGGCCCCTACATTTGTTCTCAGGGAAGTGAAACGCTTACTGTCTCCTCAATTTGGACTGTTGCAGGCTGTGACAGACAGTAGCCAATTCATTGGCTTGGGGCTGTCCCCTCCTAGCTGGGATATTCAGGGCCCTGAAAGGCAGTGAGGTGTGGTGGGAAGAACATTGGCTCTGGAATCTGACCAACTTGAAATTAAATCTCAGTTCTGCCCTGAAGCACTGGGTAACCTTGGGTAAGTCACTTTACCTCTCCGGACCCCATTTCCTCATCTCTGAAATGGAGACAGTAACAGCTTCCAGGCAGGGTGGTTAGGAGAATGAACAGTGATAATGTGGGTGAAGGAAGAGCACACAGCAGGAACTCAATAGAGGTTAGGCACGTTTCTCCCTCCTCTTAGAACACACCCTGTCCTTCAGCCATGGCCAGGCTCATCTTTGCCATCTTGGTGGCTGCTGAAAGGCCTCATTGACTGGCCGTACCCACCGACAGCAGTGGCCAGCAAGGTTTTCTGTAAGGGGCCAGAGAATAAATACTACAGGCTTTGCAGGCCATATGGTCTCTGCCACAGCTACTCATCTCTGCTATTGTTGCTCAAAAACAGCCATAGATGATACCAAATGAGTAAGCATGGCTCTGTTCCAATAAAACTTTATTTATAAAAATAGGCAGTGGGCCAGAGTTGGCCGTCAGGGTATAGTTGCCAATCCCTGGCCTTGCGTTTCAAGTCCGAAGCCTCTGCTTTTCTCTCAAGGGATTTCCCTAGCCTGGTTTCACCTTCTTCTTCCAATCTGGTTTATGATTGTTCCCCAGTATAACCCAGCAGGACTCCTTTTTGTCCTTGGCGCAGGAAGTGTTTAGCTTCCATAGCTTTGCCCATGCTTTCCTCCGGGCTGAGAACAACATCCCATCTCCTCTTCACCCTGCTAAATTCCATCCCCAGGGAACCTCCTGGGCTGCCCTGTAAAATACAGGGCTCAGACCAAGGTCTCTTGATTCAGCACTGGACAAACGCATCCTTCAAGGCTGTGCTCTGGCCAGCTGTCATAGTGATTTTTCCCTTTGAGGACTCCTGTGGCCCCTGCTATTGATGCCAGGATGGCCCTCCCAGAGGTCCCTGGATTGAATTGGTGCCTACATATCAATGAGGAGCCCTGGAGCGTCAGTCCTGAACTTTTCTTTTCTTTATTTTTATTTTTGAGATGAAGTATCTGTCACCCAGGCTGAAGTACAGTGGCACAATCTTAGCTCACTGCAGCCTCTGCCTCCTAGGTTCAAGCAATTCACCTACCTTAGCTTCCACAGCAGCTGGAATTACAAGCACATGCCACTATGCTCAACTAATTTTTTTTTTTTTTTTGAGACAGAGTTTTCGTTCGTTACCCAGGCTGGAGTGCAATGGTGCGATCTCGTCTCACCGCAACCTCCGCCTCCTGGGTTCAGGCAATTCTCCTGCTTCAGCCTCCCGAGTAGCTGGGATTACAGGCACGCGCCACCATGCCCAGCTAATTTTTTGTATTTTTAGTGAGACGGGATTTCACCATATTGACCAGGATGGTCTCGATCTCTTGACCTTGTGATCCACCCGCCTCGGCCTCCCAAAGTGCTGGGATTACAGGCTTGAGCCACCGCGCCCGGCCATGCCCGGCCGTGCCCAACTAATTTTTGTATTTTCACTAGAGACAGGGTTTCACCATGTTGGCCAGGCTGGTTTCAAACTCCTGGCCTCAGGTGATCTACCAGCCTTGGCCTCCCAAAATGCCGGGAGTACAGGCTTGAGCCACCGCGCCCGGCCAGTCCTCAATTTTTCTATTAATACATGCAACTCACAACAGCCTGCAGTTTCATCCTGCCTGGAATCTTTCTGTTTTCCTGCATATGTGGATCTGGATCTGGAAAGTCTCTCCCAAGCCATTATCCCTCTGAATATGGCCTCTTTCCCACTGTCTTTTTACTTCTTTGAGGAGCACAGATTAATCATAGCTTAGATCATTCCCATATTTTTCTTGTCTTTTAACCTCTCTATTAACTTTTCCATTCTTTGGCTCTCCTGGTGCATTTGTGGTAATTTCTTCATATCTCTCTTCTAATTCATTACTTCTTTCTTTATCTGTATTAAGCATATCCATTTAAATTTTAATTTCAAAGATTTTTTTTTCATTTTCAGCAGTTCTACTTGATCCTTCATAAACATCTGCCTGTACGGTTTGTAGTCTCTTATTTCTTTGTTTCCTGTCCATCTTTTTAAAAACATTTCACGTCTTGTTATTTTACAACCTGTCTGATTATTGTACTATTCGAAGCCTTTGACAATCTGTTGCTTATTGTCTCTGCTGACTCTTGCTCATGGTGACTCATGGTTTGGTCTTGAACTCCTGACTTCGTGATCGCCGGCCTCGGCCTCTGAATGTGCTGGGGTTACATTTTGTTTGTTTGTTTATTCTCTTTGGTAAATCAGACAGAAGAAGGCTTCCCTCTAGAGAAGATTTGCATTTGCTCCTGCCAGCCACTAGGGGGCACCCGCAACCCAGGCCGCCACCACGTGCGTAGCGTCAACTCAAAGCCCCTTCAGAGGAGAATGGCGATGTGAAATTTTGCAAAATTTTGCGCATTAGACCCCGATGCCCTAGAGCTGACTTTCGTATGCTTACTTTGAATTTTTCCACATGAACGTACAAATGAAGATCTGAGACTGCACGCGGTCACTGGCCACGGCTGGCCGCCGGCAGCCAGGGCTTCAGCGCCGCAGGTGTGGGTGTGTGAGTGTGACTATGTCTTAGTGCATCAGTTCCTGGAAGTGAGACCAAAACAGAAAGAAGACAAATGCTGGTGATGGGAACCTTCCTCAAATCCTCCAGCCAGGCCCCCTATGGAAACAGGCAGATTTCATCCACCTGGCTGGCAGGGAAGTGTAAATGACCTCTGACCTCGTCTTCTCTCCTGGTCTTCTATTTTGGAGTCCAGGAGTGCATGTCAAGCCACATACTTTTCCCCATGCTTCTTACATGTGCAAAACACACCTCAGGTACCTGGCACCCAGGTATTTTTAATTCAATGACTCACCAAACCAGCCCAGTGGGGTTCTGTGAATCCAGTTAGAAGCAGCCAGAGCTGGCTGACAGCAGAGTGTGTAGCCATCCCCACAAAAGGCCATTTACCAGGCCACCAAAAGCCACGTTTTGCACTCAGCACACACTGACCCTGCTGTCGTGTCCTTTCCCAAGGTGCTGTCTTACCCAGCCCAAACTCTCAGATAGCTTTCCTATTCGTAATACAGTTGGTCCAAAGATGGAAATCACTCCACGTGACTAAGGCCAGGCCTCCGGGACAGCAACGCTCTGCTCCCTTAACTTGGGTTCATCCACTGTGTGCTCAGCTATGACAGGACAGACTGAAATGAAAGAGCATTATGTCATCAGAAATGGCTTTTAAAAGGAAAGGCCTCAGGAGGGGTCTTGCCCTTATCCACAGTTCCAAGATCCTAAGAGCTCTTCAAAACAAAAGTTTATTTTGTCAGTTTGGCACAAACTCACGTGGCAGCAGAACCGGAGCTGCCTTGACCTGTGACTATTTGTAGTGTTTCTATTCAGTAGAAATATGCGTGCATTTTGCTGTGTGTGGAAATGTTGTGTGTTGATGGCAAGGTGCTGCCCCAGAACGCTAAGAGTATTGTGTAAATGTAGATTTTTCACAGCGGCAGCTCCTAATATCATATTTCTGATTTTCAGCACATGTCAGTTTCAAGGGTTCTGGATAAGGGGTTAACCCACGTTATTTACTAACTTTCAGGTAAAAGAGCTCCTATCCCTGCTACACACATAAGAATACATTTGAATGGGGAGGGCATGGCGGCTCATGCCTGTAATCCCAGAACTTTGGGAGGCCAAGTCGGGAGGATCACTTGATCCACTGGGTCAAGGCTGCAGTGAGCCCTGATTGCACCACTGCTCTCCAAGCATAGGTAACATGCACTTAACTGTTGGTCAAATGTCTTCAAGTGTGTGTTGGACGACAGCAGGGAGTATATGCGAAGGATTCGTATCTCATGACCATTGTGAGGTAAATGTACAGGGAGTTGAATGAGACCCACTTCTTGGGTTCCTTTCCCCCTCCCATGGTGCTGGACATCTATTAAGGGCTAAACATATGTTAAATGACTCCCTAACAAATCCTTAGCATTAGAGACTGCTGAAAACCTCTGTTTGTTTTTAAAATTGCACCAAGAATACAGAAACCTTCTTTTTTTTTTTTTCTATTTTTTTGTTTTTTTGAGACTGAGTCTCTCTCTGTCACCCAGGCAGGGTGCAGAGGTGCAATGTCTGCTCAATGTAGCCTTGACCTCCTAGACTCAAACAATCCTCCCACTTCAGCCTCTTGAGTAGTTGAGACTACAGTGGTGGCAGGTAGTTGAGAATACAGCTGGGAGACTCCCAGCTAATTTTTAAGTTTTTTGTAGAGATGGGTCTTGCCAACTTGTCCAGGCTGGTCTCAAACTCCTGGACTCAAGTGATCCACCTGCTTCAGCCTCCCAAAGTGCTGGGATTAAAGGCGTGAACCACTGCGCCCAGCTGGAACACTCTCAGTGTATTAAACTGGTGCAAATGTAATTGAGATTTTTGCCATTAAAAGTAATACTGCGTGCTCAACTTTTGCCGTTAAAAGTAATGGCAAAAACTGGCAATTACATTTGCATCAACTTAATAAAAGCGATACTAAAAATATACAAAACAATATGAGAAACTTCTCCTTTACCTAACACTCTCAAGTCCCCCCCCGCCCCCAAAGTTGTTCTTTTTGATTGCTGAGTAGTATTTTATGGTATAGACAATCCGTCTACTGGTTATTGATTCTCTTATTGATGGACATGTCAGTTGTTTCAAGTTTGGGGCTATTATGCAGCGTTGATAACCCTATCAGCACTTAAGGTACATTTTTCCTGCGTCTCTCTGAACATTTATGTATGTAGTTGTATACACTTAAGTTTTATTATAATATAAATGGGATTGTGCTATACTACACATGATTCTGCATTTTGCTTTTGTTCACTTATAGGTCCTTTGACATTGGTGCATATAGATCTACTTCATCCTATGGCACAGAAATACCGTAGTTTGTCTAGGTTTCTAGAAGTCAGATTGCGGTGTCAAAAGACGTGTAGTTTTAATTTGGATAGGCGCTGCCAAATTGCCTTTCAATAACTTCCGCCAATAGACAGTACATGAAAGTTATTGTTTCTCTGATTTCTTGCCAGAATTTGATATCATTAATCTTTTTATGCCAACCTGATAGATAAGAATAAAATCTAAATGTTTGAGCATGCATTTCCAAGCTTACTTGAGAAGCTGAACATCTTTCTTCAGCTGTTTGTTAGACATGCATGTTTCATCATTAATGAGTTTTTTGTTCATAGCCTTTCACATTTTTCTAGGATACTTATTGTCCTCTTCTTATTGATATTTTAGGAGCTCTTTATATATGTTCTTTTAATTTATTGTCCTTTTAATTGAGATGTACTTTTCACACAGTCAAATATGCAGGTCCTAAGTATGGAGTTTGAAGAACTCTGACAGATGTAGAGCTTATGTAATCATTACCCACATCAAGACATAAAACATCTCTATTGCTCCTGAAGGTTCCCTCAGCTCCTTTCCAGTCAATACCCAAGAGCAACCATTATTCTGATTTCTATCAATTACATTTGTTTCTTCCTGTACATCATAGAATGGAGTCATACAGGTAAACTCTTCATGTCTGGCTTCTTTTGTTCCACATATATTTTTCTGAGATTCACGTGTCTTCAGTTGGTTCTTTTTTTTTTTTTTTTTTTTGAGACGGAGTTTCGCTCTTGTTACCCAGGCTGGAGTGCAATGGTGCGATCTCGGCTCACTGCAACCTCCACCTCCTGGGTTCAGGCAATTCTCCTGCCTCAGCCTCCTGAGTAGCTGGGACTACAGGCATGCGCCACCATGCCCAGTGAATTTTTTGTATTTTTAGTAGAGACGGGGTTTCACCATGTTGACCAGGATGGTCTCGATCTCTTGACCTCGTGATCCACCAGCCTCGGCCTCCCAAAGTGCTGGGATTACAGGTGTGAGCCACCGCGCCTGGCCAGTTGGTTCTTTTTAATTGCTGAGTAATATTTCATTGTCTAGACCCTCCATGCACTGGTTATTCATTCTTATTGAGGGACACATCAGTTGCTTTCAGTTGGGGCTATTATGAATAAAGCTGCTGTGAACATTTTTACACAAGTCTTTATATAAACATATGTTCTCATTTCTCTTGGGTAAATATCTAGGAGCTGAATAACTGGGTCACAGGTAGATGTTTAAGTTTTATTAGAAACTGCCAACCAGTTTTTCAAAGTGATTGCGCCTGATGTGTTTTAAATATGTTGCCAACATTTTCACCTTGTCTATTTCTTGTGTTTTAACTTTGACTACGGTGTCTTTTATCATAGAGATGTTTTACATTTTTATGAAGTCACTGTTTTTCTTTTTTTTTTTTGTAAAGTGAAAACAAGTTTATTAAGAAAGCAAAGGAATGCCTACTCCATAGTCAGAGAAGCCAAGGTCGCGTTTTCCTTGTGGGCCCTGGGTTCATGTCTTGTACACCAGGGTTTAACATTTTGAAAAAATATTTAAAAATATTCTTCTAGTTTGTTTTGCATATTTTGCTCCTTGTTCTAGAATTTGCCTTTTTGTGTAATGTCAGAAATATCTTAATCATAGACCGAACCATACAAGGCAAGTGTTGTTATTCCATTTCACACATGGGGAAACTGAGACTCAGAGGCTGACTACTTCAAGTCACACAATTAGCAGGAAGTGGAGGTAAGATTCCAAAGCACCTGGGCCGGGCGCGGTGGCTCAAGCCTGTAATCCCAGAACTTTGGGAGGCCGAGGCAGGTGGGTCACGAGGTCAAGAGATTGAGACCATCCTGGTCAACATGGTGAAACCCTGTCTCTACTAAAAATACAAAAAATTAGCTGGCGTGGTGGCACGTGCCTGTAATCCCAGCTACTCAGGAGGCTGAGGCAGGAGAATTGCCCGAACCTAGGAGGCAGAGGTTGCGGTGAGCCGAGATCGTGCCATTGCACTCCAGCCTGGGTAACAAGAGCGAAACTCCATCTCAAAAAAAAAAGATTCCAAAGCACCTTTGTCTCATTTAAAATTATTTTCTCTTCTAGGACTACAGGTTCGAATCTACATCCGTAACATGAATTCTGTAAGAAAGAAGAGGCAACAACAGTATGTATTTATGTATTTATGTACGTACTCACACGAATAACACACATGTCAAGGAATACAGGAAGAAGAAACCGGAAACTAATGGAGGAGGATGGGAGGAAATTGGCATGGGAATGAAACATCTCAAATAGGATTTTAAATATAGTTTTGTGTTTTGAATCATTTGTACATAATTTGTACATGATTTACATGTTCAAAAAATTAAATCAAATTAAGTTTAAAAAATAGGAAAAAAAGAAACCCTCCCTAAGTTGTGCATGAAGAGAAACAAATAAACCTAATTGTAAATTAGAGAGCCTAAGCAGAGAGCAAAAAAAAAAAAAAAAACGCAAACAAACAAACAAAAAACCAACACCCCCCCACCACACACATGACCAAAAACCCATTTAAATAATTTTGAAAAAATTACCCTGACTATACATATGTGGTGGGATATATTTTAAGGGCAAATAAAATTACAATGATGTGTTAACCTTTACCTAGTAGGTTTATGGTAAATAGTAATGATAATATGATAATTTTGAAGGAAGTTTATGTATATTAAAAAAATAAAGAAAATAGTAAATAAGAGTATATTAGAAAACAAGATTCTCTATTAAAAAGAGACTCAAAGATTATGTTTTTAAGAAAATGAGTAAAAAGAAAATCCACCCTGGGTGTTAAATTTGAACTGATTATATAATTATGAGCTCATTTTATTTTTCCTAGCTCTGTCCACTGAAAAAGCGTTGAGGAAATGACAACCCAGGAGCAGTGAGACCACCTGGTACCCAGATCTTGATTTCTAAACACTGTTACCCACCAAGAGGAACTAAAATTTTCTGCAGAAATGGCTGACTATCCATGGAAATGAAGCTCCAAGTGAAGCCCAGGATGTCCTACGGTCCCAAGAAGGAGGGAGAGGCTTAAAAACTCCTGGGGTCATGTGGAAAGGATGTGAAACTGACTTGAGGGATCCACCTAGTGAAGTTTGGGACTACTGAGCATCAATAAGAATGACCGTAGTTAATGAAAATACACTAAACAAATAGAAAATTCGTGAGTTCATTGTGTATATGTGTGTGAGAGAGAGAGAGAGGAGGGAAGTGGGCAGGAGGAAAGCTCTTCTTTGCAAAAGGATGCCACCTGATACGTATAGAAGGAATGAGACAGAAAGCCACCATTTTGGAACCTCCAATGTAACTCTGGATTCAGGTAGAATCATCAATAGATGCCAAACACCACTGAGTGAAGGGTGATTAGGGAACAGAATACTTGTGCAGCTGCAAAGAAACTTTCCCCAGATGACTTACCAAGCACAAAGGGGAAAATGTACCATTATAATAGGGGGAGGCGATGGTCATGCGTTTAGCCCCATGCTCAGATTTCATATCCTTTGTTAGATGCTCAAGCTGACATCTCAGGCCTCCCGGTGTAAAAGGGTGAGAAGACAACATCACCTATGCAGTATTTCTGTCAAAGTGTTTAGCCTGATGTCATGAAGGCCTCAGTCCCGATTTTCAGATCACAGGATGTACGGGGTATGGTGGAAGAGGTTTAATGACAACAAGAAAAAGTAATCGAACAGGACCTGCAATCCCAGCACTTTGGGAGGACGAAGCGGATGGATCACTTGAGATCAGGTCAAGAACAGCCTGACCAACATGGTGAAATCCTGTCTCTACCAAAAATACAAAAATTAGCTGGGTGTGGTGGCGCACACCTACAATCCAAGCTACCTGGGAAGCTGAGGCAGGAAGATCCCTTGAAATCGGGAGGTGGAGGTTGCAGTGAACCGAGATTGCACCATTGCACTCCAGCCTGGGCAGCAGGAGCGGCACTCAGTCTCAGAAAAAAATAATAAAATAAATAAATAAAACAAAACAGTTAACCAAGCAACCAAGCAACCAAAAAACCAGTGAAAGACACATTTGGGAGAATAGGGAAGTGTGAATATGGAGCAGAGGCAGATACTATACAGGATTATGGTTGATGCAGTCCCGTGTGAGAATGGGTCCATGGGTACGTAGGGGAACATTCTTCTATTCTACAGAGGAGGAAGTGGTAAATAGGAGCATATTAGGAAACAAGAGTTTGTATGGAAAAGAGACTCAAGGAACTGAAGATGAAGCCTTGTGTGGTCGTCACCTATCTTCAAATGGTTCAGCAAAACAAGTGTTCATGGAACAAAATACAGGCAGCATGGCAACATATTAAATTGTTGAACAGGGCCTGGGCTATGTTCAGGCCAAAGAGGTGCCTCAGCCATGATTTTGCAGAATCCACCCCACTCCCTGCAGACCCCAAGAGTGACTGCCTCCTTCAGTGTGGTGCTGGAGGCACTTTACTGGTCTCACCCTAGTCCTGGTCCTGTGGCTGAATCTGGTAGTGAGAAAATGAGTGCTCATTACATTATTCTTTAAACTCGTCTGCATGTTTAAAAAGATAAAATGATCCAAATGTGCATCAGTGAATGAATGGATAGACAAATGCCATAGATCCCTATGACAGGCTGTTATCCGCTCACGAAAAGGAATGAGACACTGATGCATGCTACAAGCAGATAAACATTGAGAACATCACGCTAAGTGAAGGAAGCTGCTCACAGAGGACCAATATTGTATGATTTCTTTATGTGATACAACCAGAATAAAAGAGAGGAAGGAAGAGAGGAAGGAAGGGAGGGAGGGTGGGAGGGAGGGAAGAGAGAGAAAGAAAGAAACAAAGAAATAAAGAAGGAAGGAAGGAAGAAAAGAAAGAAAAAGAAAAGGGGAAAGGAAAGGGGAAGGAGGAGAAGTGAGGGGAAGAGAAGAGGGGAGAGGAGGGGAGGGGAGGGGAGGGGGAGGAAGAGAAGAGGGGAGGGGAGGGGAGGGGGAGGAAGAGAAGAAGGGAGAGGAGGGGAGGGGAGGGGTGGGGAGGGGAGGGGGGAGAGGAAGAAAAGAAGGGAGAGAAGGGGAGGGGAGGGGCAAACCCAGACAGACAGAAAGCAGATTAGAGGTTATTAGGGGTTTGGGAGAGGGAGAGGGAATGGAGAGTGATTCCTTAACAGGTATGAGGTATCTTTATGGGGTGATAAAAAAGTTTTGAAACTAGAGAGAGCTAGTCACACAACATTTGGAATGCACTAAGTGCCACTGAATCGCACACTTTAAAATGGTTAATTGTATGTTATGTGAATGTCATCTCAATTTTTAAAAAAATGATCTGAGTAAAAAGTTCAGGAACAAAATGGTCAGATGTAAGGTGTAAAAACGATGCCTTTTCACTTTGGGAGGCCGAGGTTTGTGGATCACTTGAGGCCAGGAGTTGGAGACCAGCCTGGCCAACATGATGAAACCCTGTCTCTACTATAAATACAAATATTAGCCGTGTGTAGCAGCATGCACCTGTAGTCCCAGCTACTTAGGAGGCTGAGGCAGGAGGATCTCTTGAGCCCAGGAGGTGGAGTTGCTGAGATCACACCACTGCACTCCAGCCTGGGTGACAGAGCGAGAAGCCATCTCAAAAAGAAAAAGAAGAAAAAGAAAAAAAAGGATGCCTTTTTAAGCCAGGCACAGGGGCTCACACCTATAATCTCAGCCCTTTGAGAGGCTGAGGCAAGAGGATCCCTTGAGCCCAGGAGTTCTGATACCAGCCTGGGCAGTATAGGAAGACCCCATCTCTGTAAAAAGTAACAAAAATTAGCCAGGCATAGGACTATGCACACCCAGAGTCCCAGCTGAGGAGGCCAAGATTGGAAGGATTGCTTGAGCCTGGGTGGTCGAGGCTGCAGTGAGCCATGATCGCACCACTGCTCTCCAGCCTGGGCAACAGAGTGAGCCCTCACCTCAAAACAAACAAACAAACAAATAAATAAAACAGAAAAATATGCCTTTCAAAAGTGATGAAAATGGTACATGCATGCAGAGGAAGACCCCTCAGAATTCTGGCCTGTGGCAAGGTAGCAAAGCAGTGACACAGGGTCCTGTGATGTGGCCGAGCACTGGCTGCCCTGTGACCCTGGGACAGTCACTTCCCTGTAGAGCCTGTTTCTCCACACTCTAGCTTTACCCCAGCTGCACCTGCTCCAAGCTTTTGATCTCCCACCAGGGCCTCAGCCAGAGGCTGTGCACCTGCAGCTTGTCTTCCCTCTCACTTCGACGAGCACCTGTGCCCAGGGAGGGCGGAGCTTCAGGGAAATGTTCTCCTGTTCTGGGAACTCACTCACAGGCACAGTTTCCTGACCTGACCTCAGGAGCCGCTTTCTGGTGGGTGACGCAGTAGTGCCATCTGTCCCACAGGTGATGTGGATTTGGTCAGGAGGTTCTCTGAGGGTTTTGGTGTGGCTCTTTCCGGGGCTTGGGGACCAAGGTACTTTCAGCTCCAGAACAAAGGAGGAGAGCCACATGCTTGTGATTGGTGTGGAAAAAAAGTAACAAAAGACTGCTGAGCACTTACTCCATGCCAGTGGGTGGCTGTATGAAATGCTATGCTGGCCCCTCATGCAGTTCTTCTGATGGCCCTCAGATATGAGACTGTCACTGGGTCTCATCACCAAGAGGAGGTGGAGGGCCAGGCAGGGTGAGTTCATTGCTCAAGGCACACCCAGCTGGTCAGCAGCGGGGCTGGATTCAAACCCGGATGTCTAGTCCTGGGGCCTGAGCTGTCCCTGAGGGAGACCCTTAATCCACCCATATAGGAAGAGGACTGTGGCCTGCTGAGCCCTACTATGCAGCGCACCCTCTAAGCTCAGAATTGAAACGCCCCATCGACATGCTGACCAACGGCGCCATGCAGCAGGCATTCTGGTATTGCCTGCATTTACAGGACAGGGACGTGGTGGGGGGGGCTTGGAGAAGTTCGTTTGCCAGGCATCACTCAGTGGGGGCTCAAGCCAGCTCTGCCTGCAGCCCCATCGCTCCCCTGTCATTTGTTTCTCTGAGGAGCATTTCTCTTCATTTTCTGGAATACGAAGAGCAGGAAGGTCTGTTTCTGTCCGCTTGGGTGGGCGTCGGGCAGAGGCCTGGCTGTGTCTTGGCAGCGTGAACAGCACCCTCTCCCAGCAGAGCAGGCAAGGACTTCAGGATCCCTGGGTGCCACTGGCATCTCCTCCTGGAGCAGCAGCCTGGGTTTGATCCTCCCTGGAGGAAGGAGTGTGAATAGTGGAGGAGCTGGAAGTTTCCAGAAGGGAGGACACCTGAGACAGTGTGACTGCCCACAAGCCAGGGGCACAAATAGTTCTCTGAGGGAGGACAGCAAAAGAACACAGATGTGGACGGAATTCTGGGGACAGTCACCAGAGCTCCCTCATGCTTTGAGGTCCCTTGAGGCTGGAGGATGGGGACAGGAAGCCTTGGTCTTGTTTTTGAGTGTCTCTTGTGTACATGTTGGGCTGTGTCCCCTGAGGAGCCACAGAGTGGGGGTTCTGGCTCTGTGTTCAGCAATGGATCCAGCAGAGAAGATGCCCAGGCTTCCAGATACCCTCAGCCACTCCAGCTTCCCAGGTGTGAGCCCCTTCCTTCCTCCAGTGCTCAGAACCAGGCACAGCCAAGCTGGCTAGCTCTGGTTTACACCTGTTCCTGTCAGCCTTGCGTACCTCCTGGCCCCTGCCCATCCACTCTGGCTTGTGGCTGGCATTGCTCTGGTTGGCTGATGCCTGCACGTCTGAGGTGAGGATCTCCCTGGGGTTGGCCACGGATGTGACCCCAATCCTTAATAGGAAGGGCTTTTAGTGGGGAGATGGAGGGTCTGGGGGTCTCCAGGGAGCACTGGCTGAGGCCTGCATGGGGAGTTGCTGCAGCTGACCTGGGGCCAATCATCCCACCTTCCATCTCTGGGTAGAGCAGGCTGGGCTTGCCAAGGGGAAGGATCTGTCATCCTTGATGTATTTCTGAGTAGAAAGTTGGGCTTCCATGACCCCTTCTTGGTATGGGGTCCAATCCACTTCACAGGGGTCAAGTACTTACCAGAGATCCAAGGTATGAGACTACAAGGGTGGGCAAGGAGAGGACCTGGGCCAGGGCCTCTGATGTGAGAGGCAAAGCAGAGGTTCTATGGGGGGACTCAGGACTCCAGCACG